AGTAATCTATATTTTCAAATATTATTATACCAAATTTCATTTGAATATTCTAAATTGTTAAAAAAATAGATCAGTAGCATATTTATAGTACCAACACAGGCAAATTTGCCTGTATTGGTCTACAATCTAAGGGATAATAGATAAGATAAAATAAATCAAAATTAAATTTAAATTTTGGCAAGAGGCAGGATCAACTAATTGGTAATATACTTTATTAATAGGAAATGATAAGCTCAAGATGTTACGAGAGTTTGATCTTTCACAAATTTTTTTAAATGATCATGCAATTATAATTCATCAATTGTGGGATAATTTTATTAAACTATATGAATCTTTAAAAAATCTCCAAACAACAAGTACTCAGTTCAAACAAAAAGCTATCAAATAGTTAAAATTATTTTTAACCAAGTCTACAGAAAGCTTTAATTCTCTAACTCTAATTAAAAGATTATACCACCTGAATAATATTACACTATATATTCATATTATGGTATATCATATAGGTGAATTTATAAATCTATATTGAGAATTTGAAATGGCTAGATTTTTCTGTTCGGCTATAGAAAAAAAAAATCATCAGCATGTTTGTCATTTTTTTCAAAAGACAATGAAGGATAAAAGGCAAGAAACAATTAGAAAATCTGCAATTTTAGAGATTATAGATTATGAGAATCGAAATCTTTACTTTTATAATAATCATATTCTCAGGTATTTTGAAAAAAAGACAAAACTAGTTATTAGATCTATTGTAGTTACGTGAATATTTAATAGTAATACGTATTCAAGAATTTTACTATTTGAATAAAATTAATTGGTACCTTTTATTGCTATAAATGAAAAATTCAATACTATAAAAAAAAAACTCAAGGTAAGTTCACTAATGATAAAGGTTCTTATTTATTTATAATCTGTATAATCTAATATTTATATCATTTTATAACCTAAAATAGTGAGATACAAATTTTTATATATATTGTATTTTTAGTCAGACAGATCTTTTAATTCATGATCAAATTCATTACAAAGTGATTACAAAGTAAAATTCTTTCTTAGAACTTTTTTTCAAAATCTACCTATGATTTTATTGCCAATCTAAGGAGATCTATTTGACTATTTAACATTTTACATTCTTATCACATTACAAGCTCTAAATAGTGGTTTTCCTTCTTTTTTTGCATTAGCCAATCTATTTGATTATGACTCACAGGAATCTTCTTTATATGGAGAGTATTTTGAAAACTAATCCTACTGTGCAATCTACCAACATGATATTATGATTTCTATGTTTCTTATTAAAGAATTACGGAATCAAATAGGGAGGTATTTATGAATGTGCTGAACAGTTCATTAGTAAAAAAACTTAGAAATTAAAAAAACTGTAGTTGATATTGGTAGAAAAGCTATTCGATATTAAATTTGATTATTGGTCTGTACTAATTATTTATTTTTCGTCTGTTGTTAAATTATTTACTAATTATTAATTATTATTCTATTTTATTTATTATTTAATTTAAAAATAGACTCTAAACCTAAACGAATTATTCAAAAATATCTCAATCACGCATATTAAATATATTCTTAAATATCAGCAAAATATTGGTACATATTATATTATTAATAATCTTGCAAAATTCCTTGGTTATGAAAATCTCGATAAATTTTGTGCAGCATTCACTAAATATATAAATAGTCATTTCAAATCACAAAAAATATCTCAAGTTAGTTTTCAAATCTGGATGATGCTTTATTTCTATAGTTGCGTTGTTATTAATCGGCTCTCAATGTACAAAAAAAAGTTTAATATATAGATATAAGCTCAATTAAAGAGTAATAAATCTCTTGAGCAGAAGTGTTTCCAGATTATTAAATCATTTATCAGAGAATACCATGGTATAAGAATGATGATTCAGAAATAGATGGTGTCTTTGAAGAGAAAATTACTGAAATGCTATTCTCTTTCAAACATCCACAAAAAAACTGAAAATATAGAATCATATATTGTGAGTTTGCTGACAGTAGTACCGATCTATATATTAGAATATCTAACATTGTCACAAGTGAGTTTATAACAATTCACATGTTATATATACAATATGAAACAGATCAGGATCAAACTAACTTCTCAATTGTATCTTTTTGGTAGTTTCATATCAATATCATTTGTTAATTTCAGTTTATAATATCCATAAAAGTTTTGATTCTGTAAATTTATTAATTACATATATTAAATATATATTATAGAGCAGTAATTTATAGATGCTTGATTGAAATTATCAAGATCTTACTGGGTGACTAAATTAGATCTGTGTTTGGAGTGATATTTCAAATGATTTGTCTAAGAAATTCATAATACAGAATACATTCATACAGACTTTCATTTGTAATACTGGTAATTGATTGCATATGATCTTATCTTAGATTGTCAAAAAAGCAAGATGAAAAATAATAATATTTATGGCTTGGAAGTTACTACATTAAAGATATCAACTAAGTAAAGTTCTTTTGTTGGTTATAAATTTTTTTCAGGTCTTTATACTATAATTTTTCAAAAAAAAACTCAGGTTGATAATTATTATAAGTATATAAGGGATATATATTAATTCAGAATAACATGGGTATTATTTAAAACAATGTTAGCATATATCATGTATTTATAATATTAAAATTGGTTTTATAGTTAATAAAAAATTTTATGATCTATTTGTCTTAGATTTGTTTTATATATAATTTGATAGACAAAAGCAAATCTTTATTATGCTAAAATTATTCTGTATAAATACAAATAAACTTGCTTTTTAGAAAGTTACCTATGATTTCTAATAAATGATTAATTCTCAATCACTGTTATATTTATTATAAACAGCTTTTAATTATTCTACTTCTTCATCTATTCAAAATTATTTTAGCGCTTGTCTATGTTTATGTCTTTGATTTTTAGAATTATAAGCTTCCTCATCACTTATTTTAATATTATTTCCAATATGTCTTTTTAATCTTTTATTGCTATAATTTTTGTTGCAAACCGAATCTCTACCCATACCAAAAACAAGTATATCACTAATTGCTATTCTTATTTCATTAATTATTTAAAAAAAATTGATTTCTAGAGATGGTGCGATCAAGAATAACAAGATGTTGATTCTAATTTTGTTTTTGAATAGTATTATAAATAAATAGAACTTAATTAATTTTGTTTAATATGATGCAGGTTCAAAATCGTAAAGTAATTTAACATTCTGTATAAAATATACAGTATTTTTAGACTTACTACACTTTAAAAGTATTCAGTATCTGTAATGAATCGTATTGTTAAAAATCCTGCTCAGCTAACATGACCATTCATATCTTCAATTTGTTGTCATACCCATTGAACTGTGAATTCAAAATTTGTTGATCTTTTACTTTTATGATTTTGTTTTAAACTATCTTCATTATTGGGGGTATTAATATCTGATTCAGTGTCTAGTGGAGCAACCAATATTACTGCAGTTTGCTAACCTTGTGAATAATATCTAATCCCCCAATTTTCATCATCTAGAATCTGATATAAGATATTATATGCATCCTGACCACTAAAAAAACATTCATAGCTTTGTTTAATAATTGAATATCATATTATATGTCTACCAAAAACATCCACAAACTGACTTTTCATACATGGAATAGTAATACACTGTGGTCCCATAGAACTACTATTGTTTGATAATTTTTTTTGAATGCTATATACTAAAACTTCCTTAAATTTAGCTATAGCATCTTGTGATAACATAACCACTCTTGTTCGTGGAAGATTATAAGAGGTATGTACTACTTGTTTATAATGAATAAGATTTTATTTGCTTTTAAAAGATTTTTGTGGACATGATTGACAAATATAACTGCTGGTAACTATATTGTTTTTGAAGAGTATACTCAAGTTTGGTGAATTAAAAAACTACATTTAGTTTTAAATTTTTTTTTAGAACAAAATTGCAAATAATTTCAAAAGATGATATTAATAAAAAATATACGCGTATACCAATTTGTATTTTTTAAAAAAATATTACGCATATAATTTATATTTTTGGGGTTCATTTTTTGTAATTAACCAATCAAATTATAGTAATTTAAAATTATTTGAGGTATATATTTAAGGCCCAATTTTGTCAATCTGCTGATATATACTACCAAAATTACAAAGATTTTGTTCTAACCAATTATCAAAAGACAGTAGCTATTATACAAGCAAAATTTTTAAATTTCTGTTATCAGTGAGTTTCGAACCTTCAACTTGCTAATATATCACTTGTGACAACTTAACCACTTCACTAAATCACCACACTCTATTAAATATCAATTTTATAACTATAGTTCTTAATACAATATTATAGAAGATAACAATTTTTATTATTATAACTTTGTAATTTACTTGTAAAAATTTAGACTTATATTAAGAGCAATAATTTTTTTTATCTTCAAAAATATATAAAATCTTAAAAATATTAATAGACAATATATTTGTTATTTGGAGAGGATCTGCAAATTTTTATAAATAAATTTTACTATTGAGTCAAATATAAAGTGCTCCAATCTAAAACTTTTTTTTACTAAGTAAATCACTTTTGAGCTTCTAACAAAAGTTATAGAGCTTATCAAAATGCATTTAACAGTAGTAAAAATATTAAAATTGGCTTTGTAGTTCTTGAAAAATCTTTAAAAAATATTTATTAACATATAAAATTTTTTTAAAAAAAATCAATTTTTTTTAAAAAAAATTTATATATTAGGCCATACAAACTTAATAAATCAGTTCTCATAATCTGGCTGGGTCAAAATTTACAAAACTCTAAAAAAAAATTTCAAGTATACTTATTATCCGAGTAAGTTTTTTTAAAAAATCTATAAAAAATTTTATATATTTTTTATATATAAAATTTTTTGAAAATAAAATTAAAAGCCGGGCTGCCGGGTTACTTTTAAAAATTTTATATTATCAGAACCAATTTATTAAATTTGTATAGCCTTAGTAAAATATTTTTTAAAGATTTCTTAAAAACTACAAGGCTAATTTTAACATTCTTATTATTGTTAAATATATCTTGATGAGCTCTACAACTTTTGTTAAAAGCTCAAGAGTGATTTACTTAGTAAAAAAAAAGTTTTAGATTGAAGTATTCTATATTTGGCTTAATAGTAAAATTTACTTATAAAAATTTGCAGATCTTTTCTGATAACAAATATATTGTTTATTAATAACAAAAATTTTTAAATAAAAACTTTAAAGATTTATTACTTATAAGTTTTTTAATAATAAAGTTTATAAAATATATTTTAAATAAAATATTTTATAAATAAAATATATTTATATTATTAATAATTTATTGTTTTATTTAAAAAATACTAAATACTTTATAAAATTCTAGACAAATTTATCTAAAAAACAATTAAAAGAATAATATAATCTTTATTTTTAAATATTATTAAAAAAAATTTATTTAAATATTTTAAAATTTAAAAAATATAAATTATAAAGAGAAGAGTCAGTAAAAAAAGAACAAATCTTAAATTTTTTTAATTTTTTTTTTTTTTATGTTAAGGTGACCCCTTCAGTCAAGTTCTTTATTATTGTTTGGATTATTTTTACAACTAGATGATCTACATCTGTCATATATATATTTCTATATACATAACCTTGATATAATACTATTTTAGTAACTACCTTAGAACAATTTTATTCTTGGAGTAAACCTGCTAAAGTCTTCCATACTCACAATCTGGCTGATCTAGGCTTCAGTTGATACACACAGGCCGAGGCGCCCCAGTTTTAATAGTAGAAGTGTTCTCCGGCTATTTTGTTCTTATAGTTTTTTCATACTGTTTTAACTAACTATAGTCTGATCGCTACTACACAACTTTAGAGTTTACCCAAACCCTGGTACACATATTACAAACTATTTACAGTATCCTTGACTACTCCAAACTACTAATTTAGATGGCCCAGAAGGGCTGTGATCTGCTCCTGGTCCCCATGGTTGGGTTCTTTTCCTCCGGTTACTCTTCCAATAGCCTAGTTGGTGAAGTGTCTTGCCAAAACACTTCGGTTCCATTTAGTTTTGCCAGTTCCTCTGATGATGATCCTTTACATTGTACTATCAAAGATCTGTATTACTTCTCTATTCAGAACTTGCCAAACGAGTACCCTATTGCCGTATTAGCCTTGTAGCTTTTTGCAATCTGAAGATCTATTCATATAACTTATATCATACAAATACCCTGAGATCTCCCAGTTCTAATGAATTGGTATGACCACAGTTACAGGTCTCGAGTTTTCCTGGTCATGATGATAGTTACTGAATCTGTTTTTCTTAAAATCTAATTTTCGCTCTCCATAGAAATTGAACCAATACTCAACCACTTAGGGTGTGACAAATTCACTACTTTACTAAGTTGCCGCACCCATAAATTTTTTTAAATTTGAGATTTTATATTTATTATAATATTTAAATTATTTAGAATATTTTTATTTAATAATAAACTTTTATTTTTATAATAAAAAATTAACTATAACAGTTTAAAGAATTTTTATTGCACAGATTAGCTGCTTGTATCAGTATATTAAATAAATCTAAAATTAAAATTTACACAAATACAATAGAGTAAAACTAGCTAGCTAAATATATATATATATATAATATAAAAAACAGATTATATATAGCTACAGGGTCTAAATAGCTATCATTTAAATTATCTATTTAAGCAAGCAAATTTGTCTGCTTAAATATTTTGATGAAAATAAAGCATAAAAAATTTTTTTTTATAAAAATTTCGATTCTAATTGGTATGGTGACTTCTAAAAGCTGGAGCATATACTATATTCAATAGCTATAGTGTGATATACTCAAAATAATCTAAACAAAAGATATAAATTCACACAAAAGGTGTGTAAAATATGCCAAGCTTTTGAGTTACCTTATCTCTCTTG